TGTGTGTGTGTGTGTGTGTGTGTGTGTGTGTGTGTGTGTGTGTGTGTGTGTGTGTGTGTGTGTGTGTGTGTGTGTGTGTGTGTGTGTGTGTGTGTGTGTGTTCGGGGGTAAACGGAGATACCAACAGATTTACTCACGGGGCGCCTAGCACGTGTTGCAATTATCGACACACTTGTAATTCTGTCTGCAGGAGTTCGTGCAGGAAGCCTTTCAAGCATGCTGGCTCGTTCTCCTTGCCATCACCAGTCTGACGGTTTACGCCACAGGCGAAGTGTCAGACTGCAAAGCTATACAAAACGATTCGAGCCACGGATAGTAGCTACAAGTCTTGAAATGTCATCAAGTGGTCGAGAATGGTCAAGAGTCTAGCGTGCCCATTGGCACGCACAAAAATGTGCGATCCGAAGGTGGGCTGGTCAATGTGGCAAGGACTGAGGTCACATCAGTGCACTTGCTGATCGGAGAGGACCTGCCAGTGATCTCATGGTGGCTTGGACAAGCCCATCAGTTCGTATTTCCTTCACGAACTGGAATCTCGCAAACAGGCTGCAGCGGAAAGGTCACGTCTGCCACCCACCTCCTGTCCACCGGTGGGCGCGAGCCCTTGGGCTTAAGGTCCTCGCGCAAACCCTCATCGTACATTGCCTGGCAGGTTCTGTCAAAGGCCTGAGCTGACAACTTGCAGCACTTCAAGTCTACGTGCCAGTTCACCTCGGCCGGCGAGCAAACATTGTCGTTGTAGCTTGAGCCGGTGGTGGATCCCACATACTTCACTGCCTGGCCAGCTGGCGGCGGGCGCCACTTCGTGAGGAAGTCCGCATAGTCTGCCTCAATCTTGGCAGCAGTGTCGAGGGAGGCGTTGTTATAGATGAGGCACACCTGGCCACGCACAATGACGTCCGCATTGACGGTACGAGCAAAGGCACCGCCCAAACCATCAGCGATCCCGAGCTCGCCCTCACTGCCGTCGTCCGCCAATTGGCCCGGAGCACCGCTCGAGAAGACCCAATGGAACTCATAGGTGAGGCCCACGGAGACATTCTTACAATGCTGGAAGTTGTAAGGTTGCTTCTCCGCAGGCGAAAGGCCATCGGTTTTGCAGAAGAGACCTGGAGCGACCGTGCTCGCAAGATCTCCCGCTGGAGGAGCTTGGTCGTACTCGCCGTCGTTCTTGTGCTCGGCACCCAAGTGGAAATGGAGGTTTGCCTGCAGAAAGTTCCGCCGCTCCTCCTCGCCGTAAGGCTCGTACCTAGTCGCCAGGATTCCAGTGTAGCCTGGAGTCACATCCCTGGGTGACTGTGGCTCGGCATCTGTGCAGGCAAGGTCAACAGATTTCACCACGCCCACCAAAGCAAGAAGGCAAACTCTCAGCCAGGCCATGCTGAAAGAACAAGCTCTAGGGCTTTGATGCTCCAGGACCCTGGACAATGCGGCAAACACAAGACACTGGGGCAGTCAGTCCTGGACGCCTGTGAACATCTCGAGACAGTCTGCAGGAAATCTCCAGGGGTGCAAGCAGGAAATCTCATTTGCAGAGATCCCGAAACTCTCAGACAATTGTCTGAGAACCTGCAAGATTTCCAGGGCAGGTTGGATCCTCTAAAAGCTCTAAACATGTTCAATACACACCTGTTGGATATTCAATCGGAAGTATGTGTGTGTGTGTGTGTTTGTTCGGGGGTTACCAGAGTTACCAGCAGATTTACTCACGGGCCGCCTAGCACATGTTGCAATGGAGGTTAGTCAAGCAGAGCTGGTTGTGCTATCATGTTCTTGGTACACGTTGCAACTCTCTGCAGATCGACACACTTGTAGTACCGTCAGCAGGAATTCGTGCAGGAAACCTTTCAAGCACGCTGGCTCGTTCTCCTTGCCATCACCAGTCTGACGGTTTACGCCACAGGCGAAGTGTCAGACTGCAAAGCTATACAAAACGATTCGAGCCACAGACAGTAGCTACAAGTCTTGAAATGTAATCAAGTGGTCGAGAATGGTCAAGAGTCTAGCGTGCCCATTGGCACGCAACAAAAATGCTGCGATCTGAATGGCAATCCCAGGCTTTGAGCAAGAAGATCGCATGCAGTGCACTTGCTGATCTGAGAAGTGGTCTCTCAGCTGCTGCAAGTGGGCTCACTGAGCGGAAAGACCACCTTCGCTGAATTTGCTGCAGACACCGGGGCCCGAGAACCTTTCGGCTTCAGGTCGTCGCGCAAACCCTCATCGTACATTGCCTTGCAAGTCCTGTCGAAGGCCTGAGCCGACAATGTGCAGCACTTGGTGTCCACGTGCCAATTCACTTCGATCGGTGAACAGACTTCGTCGTTGAAGGCGTCACCAGTGGTCGAGCCCATGTATCGAACTCCCTGCCCTGCTGGTGGCGTGCGCCACTGCGTGAGGAAGTCTGCATAGTCGGCTTCAATCTTCGCCTCTGTGTCAAGTGAAGCGTTGTTAATGATGCGGCAAGCCTGGCCACGCACGATGACCTTTGGGTTGATAGTGCGGTTAAGGGCACCGCCCAAGCCATCAGTGATGCCGAGCTGGCCCTCCTCGCCATCGTCACGCAAACCGACCAGCGGAGCACCGGTCGAGAAGACCCAGTGGAATTCATAGGTGTTGCCCACGGAGACATTCTTGCAATGCTCGAACTCAAATGGCTCCAGCTGCACGGGCGGGATGTCGCAAACGCTGCAGAACTTTCCAGGCGTAACGCTTGAGGCCTTCTCAGTTCCTGGTGGAGGGGAGTCGAGATCATATTCACCAGCACTCAGGTGCTCCGCCCCCAAGTGAAAGTGGAGGTTGCACTGGATGAATTTGATCACGGAGTCGGCATCCAAGGGTTTGACTCTGGCCTTCTTCTCTCCAACAAAGCCGCAGCTGACATTGCGCGGAGCTTGGGGCTCAGCATCCTCGCATTTCAGCACTGGAGGGGGCGCTGGTGTTGCAGTTGTTGTCGAGGGGTCTTCCGGTTCAGTTGTCGTCGCGGGCGGAGACGGGCCGTAGCTGTAGTGGCGATAGCCGTAGTAGCGGCTATCTCGTCGATCACGTTGACGGCGGTCAGGGCCCTCGTACTCCACATGTTCCTTCTTGCCCGCGAGCTGCATTAGCAGGGCCTCCTCGCAGCCTTCCGAAGGACACTCATCCGCCACGGCCACTGCCAGGGTAAGAGCAAAGAGTAAGCGCGCCATGCTGGAACCCTAGAAGCTCTTTCTGCTGCAGCCCAGAGCTACAGTACGCAGCTCGAGTGCAAAGCGCAGAATGCCCTACCCTTCGCCCAAAACGCAACGTGGCCTGCCCTTCAAAATGGTATGCGTGTCCTCCACTACTATGATCAACCCTGCCTGGCCCTGCGGTTTTGGTAACACCCAAGGACTCTTGGACCCATGAATGGGTCAAAGGTGTGGATATTTGGAGCTGAGCATGAATCAACCGCAAGACTTGTGTGTGTGTGTGTGTGTTCGGGGGTAAACGGAGATACCAACAGATTTACTCACGGGGCGCCTAGCACGTGTTGCAATTATCGACACACTTGTAATTCTGTCTGCAGGAGTTCGTGCAGGAAGCCTTTCAAGCACGCTGGCTCGTTCTCCTTGCTATCACCAGTCTGACGGTTTACGCCACAGGCGAAGTGTCAGACTGCAAAGCTATACAAAACGATTCGAGCCACGGATAGAAGCTACAAGTCTTGAAATGTAATCAAGTGGTCGAGAATGGTCAAGAGTCTAGCGTGCCCATTGGCACGCACAAAAATGTGCGATCCGAAGGTGGGCTGGTCAATGTGGCAAGGACTGAGGTCACATCAGTGCACTTGCTGATCGGAGAGGACCTGCCAGTGATCTCATGGTGGCTTGGACAAGCCCATCAGTTCGTATTTCCTTCACGAACTGGAATCTCGCAAACAGGCTGCAGCGGAAAGGTCACGTCTGCCACCCACCTCCTGTCCACCGGTGGGCGCGAGCCCTTGGGCTTAAGGTCCTCGCGCAAACCCTCATCGTACATTGCCTGGCATGTTCTGTCAAAGGCCTGAGCTGACAACTTGCAGCACTTCAAGTCTACGTGCCAGTTCACCTCGGCCGGCGAGCAAACATTGTCGTTGTAGCTTGAGCCGGTGGTGGATCCCACATACTTCACTGCCTGGCCAGCTGGCGGCGGGCGCCACTTCGTGAGGAAGTCCGCATAGTCTGCCTCAATCTTGGCAGCAGTGTCGAGGGAGGCGTTGTTATAGATGAGGCACACCTGGCCACGCACAATGACGTCCGCATTGACGGTACGAGCAAAGGCACCGCCCAAACCATCAGCGATCCCGAGCTCGCCCTCACTGCCGTCGTCCGCCAATTGGCCCGGAGCACCGCTCGAGAAGACCCAATGGAACTCATAGGTGAGGCCCACGGAGACATTCTTACAATGCTGGAAGTTGTAAGGTTGCTTCTCCGCAGGCGAAAGGCCATCAGTTTTGCAGAAGAGACCTGGAGCGACCGTGCTCGCAAGATCTCCCGCTGGAGGAGCTTGGTCGTACTCGCCGTCGTTCTTGTGCTCGGCACCCAAGTGGAAATGGAGGTTTGCCTGCAGAAAGTTCCGCCGCTCCTCCTCGCCGTAAGGCTCGTACCTAGTCGCCAGGATTCCAGTGTAGCCTGGAGTCACATCCCTGGGTGACTGTGGCTCGGCATCTGTGCAGGCAAGGTCAACAGATTTCACCACGCCCACCAAAGCAAGAAGGCAAACTCTCAGCCAGGCCATGCCGAAAGAACAAGCTCTAGGGCTTTGATGCTCCAGGACCCTGGAAAATGCGGCAATCACAACAGCATAGGGCACTTGAGACAGTCAGTCCCGAGTCCCGGGCAAGGCCAAAACCACACAGACACCGCTCAACCAAAATCATGCCGTGACCCCTCAAACCTCTGGACTGACATCTCGAGTCTAAGCGTGAGACCTGGAGTGGGGCGGCACTCGCTGCAGCTTGAGAACCAGCCAGTCCAAGGTCTCCCGGCAGTGCGCCACCACAAAGTCCACCCTGGAAAAATTGATGGCCCACGTGGGCCAAGGCTAGATTCTTGGAATTGGGGTCTGTTTTGCAGTTTCCTTGGGGCTGGTAGCCTTTGCGGGGTTGGCTGGAAATGAAATGGGCACATCCTGTTGTCCCTTGAAACAACACCCAAAAGGAACTCATTTTCCAATGAACCACAAGATGTTGCACCCACGTGGACGCTGGGAGAAGAAAGGCCAACAGAAACGGATTCTCTGGCGGGTTCCCCGTCACTCGGTGGGTGCGTTCGGGTCTGGGAGGAAACGAGAACTTCCTGATGGAATGGCTCTGATCGAATTCTGGGGAGTACGGGGGTCTTACTATTTCAGCAAAGCACGTCAAATTAGGAAGGCAGAACCTGCGTTCTTGACTGTCATGAGATTACCTCCACCAAAGTCTTGGTGTCGGCTTGCTCTTGGGCCAACGGGTGATTTTCCATGCTTTTCCATGGGTACCTGGGACTGGTCCCCAGCCTGAAGGGCGCCTTGGCGGACTCCACGCACGCCGTCCGAAACGACGCGGCCAACGCGCCTCGGTGAGTCGGGGAGTCGGGCACTGGATCGAAGCGATTCGATCGGCACCGTTGCTTCAAGGCCAAGAACCAATAGCGCATGCCAAGTGGTCTCACCTTCAATATGGACAGCCATATCCGTCAGACCCGGATTGATATGTTCCTCGGCAAGAAAAAAGGGCGCACATGCCGAATTGAGCTCCGTGTCCGGGGTAGTTCGCTAGCTTTTGGCCTAAGACCTGCCGATCTCTCGTTAGAGGTATGTGGTCTCCGAACCCAACCAGCGTTCAAAATGTGACACTCATCGATGAGTCAAACCTTCCTCCCCTCTTTTAAGACGCGGATAGGCACTACTGCCTGCGGTTTTGCACGGCAAACTGCAGTGCAGGTCGTCAGAACCTGAAAAGCCGTTGGACAAAATCCAATCCATCCCCACCAGTGCCAAGTGGACGAGTTTGTCCATCCAAAGTGGCCAGGTTTCCCCCAACCCCCTCGTGGCCTTCTTGTCTGATTTCGGGGTAACCAAGGAGTGGATCCTGCTGCGGGACAAGATCATCGCACCGGCATAAGTGAAACCCAATTTCAATAACTGAGAGAAATGGGTTTCGCCCGTGGCTTTGTCTCAAACTCAGGGAGCCCCGAAAACAAATGAGGTGGTTCTCCTCTTCCCCCTTTTCGCCAACCTCTAAAAGGACGCCCCACAAACATGGCCCATCTGAGATCCACTCGCCGCTCTCCATGCGATCCGAGGCGCGGATCGTCGTCTCGCAGGGTACCGCGCCGTCGCGCGGCATCAGCGCCAAGGGCACTGCATCTCCCAAGGCGTCCTGGGCGTCCTGGCGGCGTTTGGGGGGAGGGGGAAGGGGGGGGGGGTGAGGGGTGGGGTGGACGCATCAAATTACCCCAGCAACTAAGCATTCTGAGTAGTTGGGTGTGTCAATGTGTTTGAAGGTATCATTTGGGGAGTTAACGGAAAATCCAACAGTACACGATCCATTTTGAGGAGTCACGTATTTAGAGACAAACCCATGTAGTGACCCTTGAAATGTAAAATCAGTGGTTTTTTTAGGTGATTCCCCCATTCTGTTCGACCATCCTCCTGCTTCAAAATTTTGAAGTTTGTCCTTCTTTTTGTGGTGGTCCGGCGAGAAAGCACACCCCACTGGCTTTTGCCGGGCCAGGAAATACCCTCAGATATTCGTCCTTGCCATCTGCAGGTATTGGCCAAGAGGGCATTCCACTGGGCATACACATGTTCAGGAAGCCTTGTCCCCACTAGCACCATGGAATACTGTGACGGAGCCGCTTGAAACCATCCCTTGTTCTTTGCTTCGTGCTAGTTCTTGCTATGTGGGCCCCGGACCGCCCAAATAGTGCCCTCTTGGTGGCGGAAAATCCCCCCCTGTAAGTGGTCCAGTCCCAGTGACGATAGCACTTCTTATTTTGGGGATTCCCTTGGCTCACAGATTGTGTGTTGACTTTAATATTAGCTCCTGTCCAATGCAAGTGTCCCAACATGTCCCAAAGGAAACACCAGTTGGATGGCTCATGGGAAGCCAAAACAAGGCTCAATTATTGCATACAGGTTTCTCTAATGATCATGACGTTTAATGCGGCTTTTAAGGTCCCCCCTACAACCCTAGCCGAACTGTGTAGGACCTTTTTGCAATCCGTTTTGAGCAAAAAAACACAATACCCACCCGCTGTTGGGTGGTATTCAAAGGAAACCAACGCCTCCACATTTGCGCCTATAAACCATCTCTTGGGGCTTCATTTGCAGAGATCCCGAAACTCTCAGACAATTGGCTGAGAACCAGCAAGATGTCCAGGGCAGGTTGGGTCCTCTGAAAACCTCTCATGTTTACTACCCACCTGTTGGATATTGAAGGGAAACCGTTACAGTCCCACCCGTATGATATTCAAAACAAACCCCTTACCTATGATAACCAATCAGTATAAGAACGACCAATAAATACGAGAACGGCCAAACAAATGACGAATACTACAGAGATGTTGCTTGAAAAAGAAAAGGATGTATATAAAACAATGATCAATAGAATAAGAACAATGACACACAAGAATACACAATCATATTGTGCATCAAAATCGAATCCCCCTTTTTTTCACCCCAACTCCCAACCCCCAACCCCAACCCTATTTGCCTGCGTCGGTTGCTCGTCACTCCGGGCCGCGTGCCTGCACGCGCTTGATCGCGGCCTGCAGCGGCCAGGCCGCCGGGCGCGACGCCATCAAGTGCTGCTGGAACGGGGAGGCCTCCTTCGCCAAACGCAGGCCCCACTCGTAGAGCTGCCGGCCTCTGACTCGAGTCGACTCGAGTCGACTCGTTTCGAGTCGACTCAGTCGACTCGCGAATCCGGTGACCCAGCTGCCCCGATTTGTGGGGAAGCCAAAGGAGAACCGAAGAATTCACGAGATTTGAAGAAAAAAGAATTTGGGGGGGTCACTGTCAACGGCACAAATTAACGTAGAAGGTTTCCGGTAGGTTGGGCTCAAGGGCTGTGGTTGTCTGATGTATTTAGCTTTGGGCTTCATAGAAAAGAAGTCATGCCCAAACCTCCAGGTGACTCCCAGCACCCAAAGAAATGGTGGATGTCCTTTTGGCTTCTCTTTCAACCAAGCTTAAAAGGGTACCCACAAAAAACATTTACCCCCCCCCCCCCCCAAAGTCTGGTGAAACGATCCAACACCATTGACCATAGCTCGCGAGGGTTGTTTATCTCCAAGGACTCTAGGTTGGCGGTCGTAGACAACGTCCTCTGGTTTCTACAGTGGCTTGCGCAGGGAAGGATGTAGACTGGCCCCTGTGATCTCAGTCTTCACAGGATATAGTGATAGCCTCCTCTATACTGGGTTCATCAAAGTGACATCCACTCAAAGCAGTGGCTTGGCACATAGACTGAGAAGGGAATTCCCAAAGTGAACAGCGGCTGAACTCGAAAAATGAGAGCTCCGACCCGAAAGGCAGCCAGCCCTTGCAGAGCTTAAGATTTGGGTTGGGCGTTCGGGGTGCGTCATTGTTTTTAATATTTCGCCGAATTTTGTTGGTTTCTGTTGGGGAACCAAGAGGGGATTCCCCGAAAAAGGACGATTTTTCGGGACCCCGCAGTTTGCATGACCTGAAGCTCTGACCGTCCCGTCCACACGCGATGCGGGACCTGCGCTTGCGGCCGTGCCTTCGGTGGAAGCCGCCATGGCAAAGTCCTGGACACCGTCTCCCTGGGTTCCCCGAAAAACGTTTCACCACAAAATGGGTTTTTTTCTGGGTTCCCTTTTTGAGCGTTCCCAAAAGGGTTCCCAAAAGGGGTTCCCAAAATCAGCCTTTCCTAGGAGCCATGCATTTCCTTTTGGCTTCCCTTTGAAACTATCCGGATCAAAAGATCAAAAGGAGTGTTTGCTAGGGGTTCCAAACGTGATGGATGCCTTGAGTGATGGCCGAAGAACCCAAAAAGGATCTGTTTGGAGAGGCAATCTGTCAACACCTGCGCCTGACCGCTCCCCTTGCGGCCACTTTCTGTGGCAAACAGCTTCACTTCTGCGTCACGAGAATCAAGTTTCGCACCGCGAAAAGGGGCATCGTCAATGAAACAACCAGCCGCGGTCTATGTCCCTCTGGTGTCTTTTCAAAGTCGTGGTAGAACCATTTTTTCAGTGTGCCAATAACACACCAATTCCGAGGCGGCGAGTGATGCAAAGTGTCAAGTAGCCTGCAAAATAGAACTCAAGCTGGCACATACCCCGTAGAGAAGCATATCATTCAATTGATGCGCAGCATGTCGCGAAACATCCAAGTTGGGAGCTTCCAAAGGAAGCTCAAGTCAACTCCCCAAGCAAAAGTCACTGGACTCCAAACCCACCTATCAGCAATCCTGAAGCCTCAACCACCAAACAATCACCCCAACGCAAAAACTTCAACACCTGCTCCATGAAACATCTCTTCCTTATACCCCTCATATGCCTCCCAGCCCTCCCACCCCCAGACCCCAGCCGCCTTCCCCTCTCCTGCAGCAGCTCACCCATCTCCGTCGACTTCAGCTGCATCGCGCTTGAAGCCAGCCCAAAGGCCCGGTCAAGGTCCTGTGATGTTGAAACAAATGGGTGCAGGAATTTGAACCCATGGTTTTGGCTGTCCTGGCGTCCCTTTAAACCAACCTGAGCAGCAAGCCTCTTGAGAGCACACACCCAAATCTGACCATGGATTTGTCACTTCGGAGATACCAAAGTGGTTGACTTGACCTTGACAACTTTGGGGGATGTAAAGAAAAACGGAAAGAGGAACACCTGAGGAGGTTGATTCCAGTCCATAACTTTGTCACTCAACTGTTTAGTACAAATTTTGGGTCATTCCCAATTCAAATACTCCCCTTGCGATATCAAAAGTGTTGGTTCCAACCCAACTACGACTTTGCCACTTTTTGGGATGACCCTTTGGGATGACCCTTTGGGTGCCGCGTTCTTCCTGCTGAAACGGATCCCGGAAATTCAAAGTCCCCAGCCCGGCCGAGTGTGTCCTTCCAGGGCGGCGCCAGGAGGCTCACCTCGCTGGCCAACCTCATCTCGCGACCCGACCGGGGTTCAACGAAGGGAACCCCAAAACCTTAAGTGGCTCCGACTTTTGGAATTGGCTTTTGGTTTTGGGCTTCTGGCTGTTTGGTTTGTGCAGCAATGGCCTTAAGGCTCGCCTCTTGCAATGGTACTCAAGGAAATCGCTGAAAGGGCCGGGGGCAACACCCCAAGTGAGGTACGGCCATCGCTTTACCACAAGGGCCAGCCTCTGTTCATCCTGCACTCCAATTGGGAGGAACCCCTTGCCGAAGCAAACAAGCAAACTACAAAACATGTGAACAACCATGTTGTAGAAAGGTTTCATCGATTTTGGCGACTGCTTGTTGAGCGAGATCATGGATGGGTGTGTGGAGCTGTTCAGCGCCTGCCAGGATATAGGGCCTGCAGCATCATGACATTAAGATCACAGACTTTGGACAAAGGTTGATCATGTTGGTTTGTGTCAACACAGTAATTTGGACCCCAAGATGGTTTTCCTCTTGGTGTCTCTTTTTTGCCAGCCTAACAAGATACCCTTAGATAACTAGCACACTTAAACTCACGAGGGAGAGTGCTGACCCGAGTTGGATCGGGTTCAGCTTGGTGTGTTTCGAGTACACGGCTGAGCCGGAACGCATTGCAGCTTCGCTCTGGACTCGAAAACGTTACCAGATTCAACATGAAGCACACACAGCGGCCAAACAAATGGACCAAAAGGCACACGGTCTTGCAGGTACACAAGCCTGATCAGGCCTTGCTTCCCCTCCACTCACGTAGCTCTGTTGGGCATGGTGGTGAGTGGAGGCCATGGCCCCCTGTTTGAAAACTGTTGGCGTCAGGGTGGTTCTGACGCTCCGCACACACACACACACACACATGTCCGTGCTTGTTGACATCTTTCTTAGTCCCCCTTAGTCCTCTCAGCCGACATGTCACAGGTCCCTCGCGGGCTCTTGCCAAAGGCCAGAAACCCTGTGATACCACCAGAGAGGAGTTTCCCATCCTTACCAGTTCATCAAAAACCGGGGTCCCCCGGCCCCCCCGTGATTCGCGCACCAGATCCGGGACCCGACTCTGCAACCAAGGCGCAGCAAGGCGAAGATCAGAGGGTTGGGGCAGTCGGCATCCACAAGGCTTTGCTTGTAGTCGTCGTGCAGTCGGACCAGGAAGAAGGCCTGGTGATGGCGAATCGATTGGACCCGAAGGCAAGAACTAGTCGGATGCACTCGCACTCAGCTTGTGCACTTCTCAAGATTGGGGGGGGGGGGTCTTTTGAAGGATGTTTCAAGGACAACCACAAGGATGCCAGTTTGGCGGTCCATTCTTGGAAACACCCGTCTTTCACACACTTTGACCAGCCTCCAAAAGGGGCGGCCGCGCCCCAGCGTGGTAGTGGGAGTCCAGCTTCCGCTGGAAGCCCGCGATGCTGAAGACGTAGTCCTAGGCGATTGGATTTTTGGGTTTGACGTGGGCTTCCCAGCAGAGATATGGTCCTGCAAACAGGAGTGGCTGTCACTGACCGAAAAAACCAAGGTGAACATGGCGAGGGGAAAGGCTGAAACCAAAGAAACGATGGAGGTCAAAAACAAGCATGGCATTGAACAAAGGTGTCGCCCTTGGCAGCACTCTTTGGCTCAATGAAATGTAAACGGCATGAACGCGAGGCCCCACTGACAGGAATCACCACGGCATGCCTCACAAGTGTCCGTGGTTCCCCTGGCGCAAGGCAATACCCCACCCCGGCTCGGCCCCTCAAGCAACTTCCCAGCAGAGCGTCTGGACAGCTTGGGGGCTGCGAAGGCTCAAGGCTGCTGTACCTGGGCCGAAAGAAGAGACCTACCTGAGTGTCAAAATAAGGATTGGGACCCACAAAATTGTGCGTGTCGCTTTTTGGTTTCCCTTGAAACCCACCTGAGAAGGGAACCCTCAAAATCACACACCCACAAATTCGCGTGGCTCACATCAAGATGCGCAGGAGTCCTGCAAAATGTCTCGAGGTTTGAAATTCACGGCCGCCATTTACCAGTGTCTGGATGGTGTAAGCCACTGAGCCAAATGAGCGCCGCCGACTTCATGAGCGAGGGAAGCAGCTGATTGAAAAAGTACTAGGAGAGTGAGAAGCACTCGCAAACGTGCAATCAGGGCGTGTTGATCCACAGAATTGGTCCTGTGAATTAAAGCAAAACCCTCCTCAGCTGGGGCCACTCAAATCTGGGGTTTAATCAAGGCTCCTTGGACGCGAAAGGGGAGAGATTGCGAACCAAGGGAAGCCACTGAGAGTTCCCAAATTTAGGGCAGATATGATTTCTCCGCATGGAACCCCCAAAAGATGCCTTTGACCCCCAAGCTTTCCAATGGGTGAGTGTTGTTTTTTTTCCTTTCTCTTCCAGTCAAATCCACCGGAACATGGTGTCATAAACCCACACACACACACATGCGCACACATACACAATATCCATCCATTGGTCCAATCAAAGGACCGAGCCCGGGCCGAGGCTTTCCCATGGACACCAAAACCCCCGATGGAGCCGAGGCGCTCGCACCACCCGAACTTGATCTCCGAGAAGCAGCTCATGGCCGCCGCGCTGAAGGGGAGGCCTGAGAACACCACGCCGTTCACCGAGCATCCCGCCAACCCGGATGCCGCCATGGCTTGAACCGTTTTCCGTGTTGGCGCTGTCCTGCAATTACCGTCACCCGCAAGAAAAGGGGGGGGGGGTGTACACTTTGGGATGTAGACGCAAGTTTTCAGTAGGCAAAATTCATACCCTTACCAACAGAACTGGGAATGCCATCTTTCGCCTAAATGGGGACCAAGCGTTGCGTTAAATCTAACCCTGCTGGAAAACCCTCTCAGGAAGCTCTCTTGGGGGACCTTTTTGGGAGTCCATGCTAATTTGCAGTACTGAAAACAGGGGAGGCACACCTGAGCGGACAGGGCTACATAGGCCAGTCGTCCGCAAGACATCACACGGCCAATGACGCGCTGATTATAAAATAAACTCCAACCATCTAAACCACTGCCCAGTGGAGTCAGTTCGATGAAGCACTCAAAACGCCCAGAAATAACAGGTTCGCCTTCTGAGCCAAACAAAGGGAAACCAAAAGGTCAAAAGGTCAAGTTTGGCAATGTGAGAGGATGATGCGTTGCAAGCACCCTGGCACGGCCACATGCTCCTGGCACAGAACAGCTTGATGATGTGACGGCAAATGGCGAAGCACACACCACTTATCCACTTAACTCCTCCAATACCTCCCCACCAATTAACACGGAGCTTAACAGGGAGATCCTGGAAGACCATTTTTTTCTGTTGAAGGGACCGGGTCCCTGTCAGGTTCCATATTAATGGACAGGGGGTATCAGTTGCGTGAGCATCTCGCATGTCTTTCAAGGCATTAAAGCCACAGCACAGTCGCACTCAAGTCTGTTGATTGCTGCTGCCAATGTGCGCTCCACCCAAACCTGGCGTTCCCTTCGTCCGACTTGCTCTCTTCATCAAGCCCATCCTATCTCCAGGACGTAGGACTGGCTGTGTTGGACAGCACTACTCGTTGCGCAAACGTCTCCGCCCACGTTCCCCAGGCGGCTTTACTAACTCTACTATTGGCCAAACGATGTGAATGTTTACGATGAAACCTATCAACAAATTACCGTTTGCAGAAGAGTCAGTTTGACCAACCAAGACACTGACTCTTTCCCGACGAACTAGTGACAACAAATTATGACTTCCTGCGCCGGGATGTCCAAGCAAAGGCCTCTCGATAGGTGACTCTCTTTGGGCAAAGCCAAACATGCCTTCTGCCAAGGCGCTCAGCCATCGCAGCAACATGATTCCACATGGGGCGCAAGAACTCGTTCTCTCTCCTTCTCTCTCTTTGTCAAAGCTCGGACGTTGCCGTTGACAGATCCTTCCTGGTGGTGTATTGCAAAGGCAGCCCATGAACAACATGACTTCTTCTCCAGGATCCTAGCGGAATGTTGGCTACCATTCAAGACAAAATGTCTAGCAATGGATTACTAGTTTCAGTTGGCGATCTCGATGGCTGTTTGGGTGGCTGGGTGGCTCGTTGGCAGGCCGCTTGGCTGGCTGGTTGGGCTGGTCGGCTGGTCGGCCGGTCGGCTGGTCGGCTGGTCGGCTGGTTGGCTGGTTGGCTGGTTGTTCACAACACTTTGTGATGTAAACAAGCCTGCTGGTAGGGCTGGTGTAGCATGCGTTTCTTGAGATGGAAACAGCTGCGCAGGGCACTGTTGCCAGAACACCCGAGAAGCTGAACAAGCATAACGAAAGGCCGGGCAAGTGCCAAACGTTCCTGCGGGCAATGAAACTGAGCTTCGCCGTCCGAATCCTTCAGCACTTGATGGAAGAGTAAACAAACTATCCGAATTCGTTGATGTTGACTGATCTTCACAGGCTCACAAGGTGCTGAAGGCATAGCAGTTGGATCGCTCTTTCCGCTTCAGCTGGCGGAGGTCAGTGTTCTCCACGCCTCCTCCGGCGTCAACGCCTGGCCAGTTGGTGACAAGCCTACTAGGGGTTTTAAGCTGTTGCAGGAAGAAAGGGCTGGCAAGCCAGCAACCTTCCCAACGTTCGCTTTGACCCTGGATTTTGGGTGTGGCCAACCGCATGCCTCGCGATCAGAAATTTCAGGGACGCAAAGCCGTGCACGGTTGGGTTCAACCATCGATTCATGGGCCTCCACACTGATTCGTTTCACGTCTGCCAACAATGCAGCCAGTTAGGAAGCGCTAGGCTCTGCACAAACCAATCGTTCTGTGGATGTGATCAGGGCAGCCCCGCCGGAAGCATCTCTGGGCTGCGGGGGAAAATCGAAACCACACACAACGACCAACCACACGTCTCAGAACAAAGTGGAGAAGAGGGTTAACATAGATGGCACAAAACCATTTTTGTGGATCTACTTTCATCCAAATCACCAATTAGTGGCCGCCAAAATGGGTAGCATTTCATCCATGCATGGTGCATCTGGATTTTGTGTGCACTTTAGGGTCCCCGATCCCAAGGGAGACACGTCGAATTGATGCGCTTCCACGATCTCGTATGAACGTTGGGATCGAGTGAATCACCGGCTCGGCGCATTGAGCAACGAACCATTTGCAAAACACGCTTGCCAGGGTCAAACTTCTCATGGTTCCCGTAGTAGTAATCCCTACCATGGTTGTCTAAACCACTGTGAATCATTCGCTTCGCAAAACATGACCCCAAAACGGGAAACAAAAAGAGTAAAAGGGTTCAGTCCCCTCCTCGAAAAAGAGCCCCTTGCCCAGTGACAATCGGCAACTTGTAGCCGGTCGCTTGAAGACTCAAGCCGTGCAACAAAAGCAAATGTCAAAGGGCCGGAATCTTCGGAAGTCGGGCCCACCTGATATCTCAATATTGGAAGCTTCTGAGTCCAAGCGGCCCTGATCACAATTGCCTTTCAAAAGTTCAAGGTTCACAAGGTTCACATTCAAAATCAACAAGTTCAAGGTTCACAAAGGTCCAGTCAAAAGCTCCTTCCGAAAAGAATGTCAGTCTCTCTTGGTTCTTTTTCGCCCGCAACTCCGAATCCCAAGTGGGCCAAACCCATCCGGGGCGTCCGATTCGGTCCTCGTCGCGCCAGCTGAGCTGCATCAGCTTCAGCACCTCCTCCTTCTGCATTGCCTTCCTCAGAGACGACCCCGCAACAGGTGAGACGGGTGCGGGCGCGTGCGCGGGCGGGTTGGCGGTTTTTCTTTCGGGTGACCGGTTCCCGCGGGGCGACCCAAGTGGAGGCAGTTGGAGGTCGCGAAAACGACTTCTGGGGGGATGTGTTTTTCTCTTCTCAACCACCAAGAGGGAAACTTCGAGAATGTCACTTTAATGGGGCCAGTAAGTGTGAGTGTGTTTGTGGGCAGAGGGGGAGGAGGCTGCCAAAAAGAGGGTAGGCGGGACTGAAAGACAAATACAGAGGGGCTAGGCCCAAATGCAGGTTGACGGGGGGAGGAAATGACAACCCACGTAAATCAAGCCGGCAACATTGGACACCCCTCACGCTCGGATCCACCTGGGGCTGGGTAAACTGCGAGGCTCCGGTCCCAGGGTGGGGCACCTGGCAAGGCCAAGCGCTTTGGCGCACTATGCATACGCGTCCTTTGCGAAGGCTTCCGGGGCCAACAGGGTTCATCCCCAGTCAACGCCACCCGAAAATAATAATAGTAACAATAATCATGATTTGTAGGTAAATAAACAATAAATAAGTAAATAAATAAATAAATACATAAATAAATAAATAAATAAATAAATGAATGAATAAATAAATAAACAAATAAGTAAATAAGTAATAAGCAAATAAATAAATACATAAATAAATAAATAAAAATAGAATGATTAAATATAATAATTAACATACTTCGCTTCGAGCAATCCACACCCTCCACACTCACGAGCTCACGACCGTGAACACGGTTGTGTGAATTCAAGCATGGTTTTCGAGTGGCTTGGGGCCTATGACTGCTCAACAAGCTTTGCATTGAGAGCCTTATCCACCTGTGTGTGTGTGTGTCAAACTCCACTTGTCTGCAAGCCGATCTCGAGAACTCAAACATCGGTTCCGTTAACAAAAGCCAAGCCCCTTCCAAAAAGAAACCCGGCGGGGGATTAAACAAAGTTGCTTATTCACAACCCAAAGCAACACACAAGCATCACCCTTTCCAAGCCTCAGGGCACACTCAACACACAAAGGCGCCAACATGAAATGTAAACCCCACTATGACCAGACTGGCGAGCTACTCTGGCGGGATACTGGCAGGATCCACTGGCGAATGCTGGCGAGACGCTCCGTCTCGATACTGGCCGGATACTTGGCAGATCCACAGCCAAGGGATACTCAGCGGGATACTCGGCGGGCTCGGCGGGATCCACTGGCGAGCTACTCTGGGATACTCAGCGGGACACTCGTCAGGATCCACTGCTGGGCTGCTCGTGGGATACTCCGCGGGATCCACTGAAGAGCCACTCTGGCGGGATACTCGGCGGGATCCACTGGCGAGCAGCTCTGGCGGGATACTGGGCGGGATCCACTGGCCAGCTGCTCTGGCGGGATACTCGGCGGGACGCCGCTCTGGCGGGATACTCGGCGGGATCCACTGGCGAGAGGCGGGATACTCGGCGGGATCCACTGGCGAGCAGCTCTGGCGGGATACTGGGCGGGACCACTGGCGAGCAGCTCTAGCGGGATACTCGGCGGGATCCACTTACTCGGCGGGATCCACTGGCGAACTGCCCTGACGGGATACTGGGTGGGGGGCGTGGTGTGGAAGCATCGCAAAAGCGGATTCCAACATAAAATCTAACAACCCCTTCCTGTCGGGTGGGGAATAAAATATTATATATATATTTATTTATTTATTTATTATTACTATTATTATTATTGTTATTATTGCTATTATTATTATTATTATTATTATTATTATTATTATTATTATTATTATTAGTATTATTATGATTATGATTATTATTAGTATTATTATTAAATAAATATATATATATATATACCTTATTATTATTATTATTATTATTATTATTATTAATATTCTTCTTATTATTATGATTAGTCTTATTCCTATTATCATTCATATGTTTATTCTTATTATTATTAGTCTTATTCTTATTCTTATTATTATTAGTATATTAATAGTAGTAGTAGTAGTAGTAGTAGTAGTAGTAGTAGTAGTAGTAGTAGTAGTAGTAGTAGTAGTAGTAGTAGGAGTAGGAGTAGGAGTAGGAGTAGTAGTAGTAGTAGTCGTAGTCGTAGTAGTAGTAGTAGTAGTAGTAGTAGTAGTAGTAGTAGTAGTAGTAGTAGTAGTAGTAGTAGTAGTATTTGAAAAAAAAAAACAAGAAAAAGAAAAACTAAGCAAAGAATAAGATAAGTAAACAAGTAAATATGTAAACCGTAAGTAAGTAAAATAAGTAGAATAAATAAATGAAAACATAAATGAGTACAACTCAGTTCAAATCAACCAAATGAAAACACATAACGTCACCTGGGGAAATCCGCCAAACCACCCGAAACTTGGGGTCCGACAGCAGCACCTTGCGCCGCTCCAGGAAGCGCCCGAAGTCCGAGCCCAGCAGATCCGCGGCCACCCCCAGCGCCGCGTAGCCACGGACCTGGAAGCCCGACACCCGCCGGCGCGGACGCCCAAGGCGGGGGGTGGCTGGTGGAAACGAAAAGCAAGGTCCAGCTCTGGGAATTTGGAGGATTTTGAGTCAAAGATGTTCAATTCAAGTCTGTTGAGAACAACAAGGACTTTGACCTCTTGTGCTTTAAAGCAAATCTGGCGAGACACAAATCGGTTTGAGCCCCAAACAAATTTCACTTGGTTGCTCGGAGGACATGTGGAAAGCCCTCTGGGGTGGTCTCCCAAGAAGAGATGCGATCCACTTTTCGGCCACATCTCGCCTGACTCTAAATGGGCGGCAAGTCAGTGAAAGAGAGGCTCCTCAGAGCGCCACCTTTCCTTTACTTGGGTGTATCTTAAAATAGAGGGAGCCCCCCCTTCCCCCCAAAACAAAAGCATTGGCGGCTTGTTTTGCTTTAATTGCGGTCTTCCTTCAAACTATGCCAACAGCGGGTGTCTCAAAACGACGCCCACGTCCTTTCCCCGTGCGCCTCCGGGTCAACGCTGAGGCTCGCCGCCTGCAGGCTCTGGCGCACCATGGCCTGCCCCGTGCTCAGCAGCGTCACCGCTGCAGAGACCTTTGGCGTTGTCTCAAAATAGCCCCCGGTTTTGGGGGGAGGGGCGGGGCGGTTTGGGGAGGGAAGGGGCGGTTTGGGGGGCGGGGTTCGGTTTCCTTTCAGGGGGGGGGGATTCGGTTTCCGCAAAGAAAGACACACCCACATGGGTGTGGGTTTGTCAAAAAGCAGAATGGACCCCTCCAAGACTCTCAAAAAAAGCACACGCGGCACCCTTTGATGGATCCACCAATCACTTTGGAGGTGGTTCCTCAGAATCTCAGAAGTGTTTAGGAGAACAAGTGTATTTCATTGGTGGATCCACCGGATCTGGTTGCTACGGGTACTGGTTCGACACGGACTACAACAGCTACGCAGACAGTGTGGATGCCCTATGACTTTGCCACTCGCAAAAATCCCCGGGGTATCACAAAAAGCGGCGACCCCAAAAAAGCCCGCAGCGGCCACCGAAGAACCCACTTGGGTGTGGCTCAAAATTAAACCAGGAGAAACCTGGTACCAGGGCAACCCATTTTGGGTACCCATTTTTGACCCACGGCCATTTGCCACAGCGATTACCGAACCTCTCCCACCTCCTCCGCATCTAGCGCACCCGAGGCCGACTGAGGAGCCTTCAGGCCCGCCAGCACCTGGCGATGTCATCGGCGCATTAGTTGTTGGGTTTCCCCCAGTCCCCCGTGTCCCATGAGTTTCTCATATGAGTCACAATCAAAACCCGGTAAAATGGTCGACCCGGAACCATGTAAAGAACTAAGAAGGCGGCCGCAGCTATGTATGGCTGGGATTGTCCCTTACTAACCTTCACTTACCCGGGTTTTGATTGTGGCTCATATGCCATGAGTGTTGCATAAATGCCCTGCAAGTCTCCTGCAAGTCTCCCCGGTCTCCCCGTTGTGTGGCGCGTGTTGTCCTCACTTCTTGTTTGAAGTGTGCTTGCGTGGCATGCAATGGCTGTGAAGCAGAAACAAGATCATCAAAGAAGTAAGATCTCGGCTCTCTAATGTGCTGAGCTCTGCCTGCAGACTGCGTTGAAAGCCTTGGGCAAACTAAGAATTCTGCTTCACCCCCCGCCATTCGAGGGATGGATCTTGTAAATGGCAGGGCAAATACATTTACATGTACCAAAGATATATCCGTGGGCGCGTGCAGCAAGACAAAGTTTTACCTGGC